TGTTCAGTTATTAGACACCCAGTGGTGCCGTCGGTAAGGAGCTTGATACATGCGCCAGGATCTCAGGAAGAGGTCCATCTGGAGGTAGAAATTTAGGAATCGTCAGCATAGAGGAAGTGTTTACAGCCATTAGGCCGGATGAGATGCCTAAATGAATGTTGATGGAAAAGAGAAGAGGTTGGAATATTTAACACAGAGCTTTTTTTCTGTGTCAGTAGTTTTTAAAAGTGGAGTTTTTGGAAATATTAAAACACTAGGTTTAGAAGCAGAAGTAATTAGTTTTTGTTTGTTTGTTTTTGTAGCAAAAAGAACTTTTGTTAAAGAAAAAGAAAAAGCCAAGACCTTGAGCTCTGGGCTCCTGCAGAGTTTTGAGTCTGGGGAGGGAGGAAGCAGCAGAGGGAGTGGAGGGCCTGTGAGGCGGGAGGGCACCTGCAGGCTCTTGGCGGGCAGGCAGGCCTGGGCATCATGGTCAGCACTGGGCCGTGCCACAAGAGGCCGGATGGATGAGACCTGGGAACTGGCCCTTGACTTAGCAGGGAGAGATGGTCTGCCGAGTTGGGTCAGCCCTTTCATAGAGTGATAGGGCAAAAACAGGACTGGCGTGGGGTTGGGCAGAATGGGGAAAGGGGCGAGGACAGAGCTTTGCTGTGAAGGGAAGAGAAAGAGTATAGGGTGAGGAGCAGGGGAAGAGGGAGGGTTTTTTCAGTGCAGAATTCTAGATTTTTATGATTTTCTTCTCCAGGTTTTTTTTTTTTTTTTTAAATTGTGATAAAATTTACATAACATTAAATTTACCTGAACCGTTTTTAAGTCCAGTAGCGTCTTTGTGTGTTGCTGTAAAGGAATACCTGAGGCTGGGTAACTTATAAAGAAAAGTTTATTTAGGTGATGATTCTGCAGGCTGTATAGGAAGCATAGCACCAGCATCTACTTCTGGTGAGGCCTCAGAAGGTTTCCACTGATGAAGGAAGGTGAAGGGGAGCTGTGTGTGCAGAGGGCACATGGAGAGAGAGAGGAAACAAGGACCGGAGGTGCTGCCAGGCTCTTTTTAACAGCTAGCTCTCACAGGAACTGCTAGAGTAAAACTCGCTCACTCAGGGAGGGCATTAGTCTATTCATGAGGGATCCACCCCCGTGATCCAAACAAATTCCATTACGTCCCACCTCCAACATTGGGGATCACATTTCAGTATGAGATTTGAAGGCAACCAGCATCCAAACTGTAGCAAGTAGTGTTAACCACTGTGTACACATGGTTGTGCAGCGGATCCCCAGAATGTTGTTATCTTGCAGAAGTAAAACTCTGCACTCATTAAAGAACTCCCCATTTCCCTCCTCCTCTGACCTCTGGCAACCACCATTCTACTGTCTCTATGAAATGGACTACTTTAGATGCCTCATATAAGTGGAATCATACAGAATTTGTCTTTTTGTGACTGGTTTATTTTGCTTAGCCTAATGTCATCCTCAAGGTTCATCCATGTTGTAGTATGTGTCAGAATTTCCTTCCTTTAAAGGATGGATGATATTCCATTGTATGTGTGTACTACATTTTGTTTATCCGTTCATATATTGATGGACACTCAGGTTCTTCCACCTCTGCTACTATGAATAATGCTTCTGTGCACATAGGTATGCAAACGTCTCTTCAGTCCTTGCTTGCACTTCTTTATGGGTATATACTCAAGTAGAGTTGCTGGGTCATATGTTTAATTTTGGGGGGAACCACCACACAGTTTTCCACAGCAGTTGTACCATTTTACATTCTCACCAACAGTGCACAGGGTTCTAATTTCTCCACATTCTTACCAACAGTTTTCTGCATTTTTGTTTTTGTTTTTTAAATAGTGGCATCCTAATGGGTATGAGAGGTGGTGGTGAAAGGGATTTCAGTCATTCTTAAAACTGTTAAAATGACTGAAATCATGGCAGATTTGTAAGAAGAGAAATGGTAGGTAAAACACGTAGGCTTTGGTCCGCCCCGTGAGTGCTCAGGAGTGTCAGCTATTACTGTGAGGAAGGGGGTGCCCATGCGTGAGGCAGAGGGAGCAGAGCAGCTGTGCAGAAGCACAGACAGAGTGTGAGGAAGTGGGAGAAGTGTGGGACTGCAAGTAGTGCATTCTGGCTGGAGCACCAGGCAAGGGCAGAAATGAGGTGCGGCCAGTTAGAAAGGCTACTATTAAAAAGTCAAAAATAACAGATGTTGGCAATGCTGCAGAAAAAAGGGAATGCTTACTTACTGTAAACACGGTGGGAATGTAAATTAGTTCAGCCACTGTGGAAAGGAGAACTTAAAATAGAAGTACCATTCCGTCCAGCAATTCCATTACTGGGCATGGACCCAAAGGAAAATGGATCATTTTACCAAGAAGACACATGCACTCGTATGTTCATCACAGTGCTATTTGCAGTAAGAAAGACATGGAATCTACCTGAGTACCTGTCAGTGGTGGATTGGGTAAAGAAAATGTGGTACATCATGGGATACTACACAGCCATAATAAAGAATGAGGTCATGTCTTTTGCATCAACATGGATGCAGCTGGAGGCCATTATTGTAAGAGAATTAACACGGGAACAGAAAACCAAATACTGCATGTTCTCACTTACAAGTGGGAGCTAAGTATTGGGTACACATAGACATAAAAATGGGAACGGTAGACACTGGGGACTACTGGATGGGGAGAGAGAGAGTGGGGCAAGGGCCGACAAACTGTCTCTTGGATACTATGTTCACTACCTGGGTAGGGATCATTCATTCCCCAGACTGCAGGGTCACTCAGTGTACCCATGTAACAAACCTGTACATGTACCCTCTGAATCTAAAGTAAAAGTTGAAATTATTTTTTAAAAACTGGGAAAAAAAAAAGAAATGAAGTGCGGTGCACAGGGCCTTCTTTGTCATACTGAGGGGCTTATTAGATTTTATCTTGAAATGACGGGGAGCAGTAAAGAATTCATATAGAAATGACGTAGTCAGTTCTTCCTGTTAGATCATTTGGCAGCAGTGCAATGCATGGGTTCAGGGGTGGGAGGTGAATCTAAAAGCTATTGATGTAATTCAGGAGAGAAATGAGGATCTGGGGCAAGATGGCGGTGGGTGTAAAGGGACAAGACTTGGTGTTGAGTTAGCCATAGAGAGAGGGAGCTGTCACAGTGACACCATTTCTGGCTTGGGCTTCATTTTGGATGGTGGGTGCTTTTCAACATGGGGATGCAGATTTGAGGTAAGGTGAAAAGGAATTATATTTCAGCTTGTACAGGATTTGAGAGTCTTAACAGACATCAGCATGGAGATGCTCAGTGGCTAATTAGATAACAAGTCTGGAGCTCAGGAAAGAGTTCATAAAGCAGTAAATGAGCATTAATTCTGGATGCCACAGCTAGTTATAGTATGTTAAAATGTATCTAGTTTGTGTGAAGGCTTTATTTTTTTGCCTTTGTGGAACCATTTTGCATATTACGGGAATGGGAACTTTCGACAGAGTATTAAGTGAACACAGAAGACCATGCTGTGGATATTGAGCTTTAAGAGAAGCAATTTATTGCTTAGCTGAAGGCTGAAATCTGGATTTTTCTCTCCTTTTTTGGTGAGGGATGGGGTACATGTTTATTGATTTATTCTTATTTTCTAAGAGAAATTCTTCTTGTTAAAACAGTTACACAGAATCTATGAAATTATACTAATTTTAAACTCGTAAGAATTCATCCCCAGTGTCTAGGTGTAACCATTTAAGCAGTAAAATATTTTAGTCCATTTCATTAAGTAGATAAGAAATTATCGAGTGTTTCATGGCATGAAATAATTCATGAAGTTTGCAGCCAAGGGAGTCCAGGGAGCTACGTGATAAAAGCAGAGAACTAAAAGTTAGAAGACCGTATTTTTGTTTCATCTATCTCTGCCTTGTACTAGCCATGGGATTTGGACAGATCACCTTTCTGATCCTCTGTTTAGTCAGCCAGAGAATGAAAACATTAACTTCCTGTTTACCTCCCAGACTCACTTATTCATTGAACAGGTGTATGCAGGAGACATCACACAGGTGGAGTTCACGGTCTCATGGATTATAGCAAAGGGTACAGAAAGTGGCTGTGAAAGCAACGTATAAACTGTAAAGCACCACGAGAACTTTAGGGTTATTCTTAACTCTAATGAAGTTTTCTTCCTGGGAGGTTCAGGTTCTCTTTCTCATTTGAGTGGTAAACCAATAGAAAATAAAAATAAAAAGAAGTGGTAGGTATCTCTTTCAGAAAAGTTAAGGTGAGATGTGTCTTACCCACTCAGAGTAGGCAGCTATTTAATATTTGTTGAATGGATAAAGTAACGGTGTTAGGATTTGGAAATTCAGTGTAAGCAGATAATGATTCTTATCTTGCTTGCTAAATTTTCAGAAATGTTACATTTTAAGAAAAGAGGGAGTTATATCTAGCACTCAGAGGAATGTAGAAATGAGCCATGCAGAAAAATTTAACTCAGAATTCAAAATCTTGGTTTATAGAGAGTGCGTGAGTTAGCACTATATACCTAGATTTCAAATTATTAATTGGAAGAATTTAATGCCATTGGAAAGTGTTAGGCACAAATAAGATATCTAATGTTTCTGATTGTGAATGAGATAAAATCCCAAATTTAAAGGCCAACATGATAATTCAGTTATCTTGGGGAATAAAGTGAAAGTTTGGTTCCTGAGATTGTACACTTAAAGCATGAAAAATGAGAACTTAAGTTGCAATTAGTGGGAAGCAACTTGAGCGATAGCTCATATAGCAATAAAGATTCTATGCTATCTGGGGTATTTTAAAATTCTACAGCTTTGAGTCAGTTTCAGATTTATAAGAGTATCTCTAATAAACTTCAGAAGTTCTAAAGGCCTTGGACTGTGACACTTTATTTTCATACTCGTTTGCACAAAATCCCACATGTTGACAGGTGAGGATGTGTGAGGGCCGCTTCATCAGCTCCCTAACAGATGGCCTTCTCCATTCATTTTATTCTACAGGCAAACATGCTGAAGACATATTTGGTGAGTTGTTTAATGAGGCTAACAACTTCTACATCAGAGCAAATTCTCTTCAAGACAGAATTGATCGCCTCGCTGTCAAAGTCACCCAGCTGGATTCAACAGTGGAAGAGGGTAGGTAATTGCTTGAAAGCAGTGAGCTAGAAGTGATGTTGACAAGATGGTAGTAATTAATTGCAGTGTAATTACTGCTTTTTCCTTGGGGTGGTATGCTGATGTTTCATCATGTCTTTTCCTAGAAGAATAGTGAGGGGGAAAAACCTACAACTTTGGGTTAATTCACAATGAAAAGATTCATATCTGGTCTACTTCATACTCTACTCTTTTTTAAGAAAATTACCAATATAGTATTTGTTTTAAAGGCTTCTTTGAATACAGTCAGTATTAGAAGCCTCAATTTAGGTTACTGATAGTTATTTTTAAAATAGTTTCTTACCTAAAAATTACAGAGCCACTCTAGGGATATGGTCCACCCGAGACAGTCTTACACATACCTTGTGTGACACAAGCACCTGGTGCTCTTAGGATTGATGCCTGTAAAATCCTGGTGATTCTGCTGATTTAGAAATTTTATTAACCTTCTCAGAAATAGCATTTACTGAAAGCCTTTAGGCTGCAGGCTTTAAAATAATGTTAATATTGACAAGCATTGTATAGTTAACTGATAGTCATTTGATGATACACCCTGAAATTGTCAGTCTCAACAAAATTGAAACTATCAACAATCCCTTTTTAAAAATTTTACTTTCAGTATCTTGAATGAAAGACTGAGATTGAGCTGGAGAAAATATGCTAAAAAAGTACAAAATATACTACTTCGTATTTATTTTGAGAAAAATATTTAGGTTAAAATTTAGTTTTTAAATAATGGCAGTTAACAGTTTCTCTTGTTGCTTTGTAAAGATCCTAGTGTCTGATTTTTGCGCTGTATCTATAGAGTAGTATTGGTAAAAATAATACTTTTTTTTTTTAAAGTAGTTATTTGTAGGAGTCATCCCTCATCATTTAAAAAATATATGTTACCTCATATTCAGGTCTTTTTCAAAGGTCAGAATTTCATTAGTGAATTACAAATATAACAAAAATGTAGAACATTGATTTTAATATCCATTATAGAAGCATTGTTACTCACTTTTCCAGCAATAAGTATTACTTGGTCTGTTCAGGTAAGGAAATCTTAACATCTTAAACCAATCAGTCACGTTTTAAATTAGTATCACAAGTGATTTTTAATAGCTATTCATATTTCTTCAACTTTTTGTTGGCTGTTACCATTAGAATGCTTATGATAACCTTACCCTGGAAAAGATTAATCTGTAGATTAAATTTTATGAGATTTTATAGTACATGTCATATCTTTAAAATCCTTTTCCAAACAAGATTTTACCTTATTACTTTTCTTGGTCATGGATGTTACAGTAGAAGAAATACTTGACTGAAAGTTAGGAAGTCTGTATTCTATTTTGGTCTTGCCACTTTTTCGCTGGAGTTCTGAAGCCCAGCTTCAGTGGTTGAATAGGTGGGTTGATAGCCTAGTCTGCCCACCTCAAAAAGTTTGAAGAAAGTCAGATGAGTTAATAAATGAAATGTAAAGTGCTGTACAAGCACAAGAAAGAACTTTACCCGGCCCCAATTTTCTGAATCCTTAGTGTAATTTTGTATCATCCATCAAGCTACTTAATTTTTGGGACTAGATGCATGTTGAAAAGCCTTGCCATCTTTCCTTAATGTTTGTTGCAGAAAACCTTAATGTGTTATTTCCATTTGTGTAATTTTTGCAGAAGTATTTCCCACATGCATTATATTTAAACTAATGTTGTTTTCCTTAGGGTATTGAAATCTGTGCATTTACGTGCCTGTAACATTCATAGCTATATTCCTATGTGATTTCTGAGAAGTGCTATTTAAATAAAGAATGTTACTCTAATATTAGGGTCAGTGAAATAATTAGATTACTACAAAAAAAATCATGATTTGACCTCATTTCATAGTGACAGCTATTATCTGTGAAAGGGAAGGAATGCACATGCTATTAAGCATGGTTTTAAATGGACAATAAAAATATTATTTGGTTGTTCTAGGAGGTGCTTTTGATTGTAAGTCAAGTGGTACTTATTTCTAAACAGTTAAAAATATTTCTGTATAACTCACCTGGGGGGTTTTCTCTAAATAGTCTCACTACAGGATATCAACATGAAAAAAGCTTTCAAAAGTTCCACAGTCCAAGACCAGCAGGTGGTTTCAAAGAACAGCATTCCTAATCCTGTTGCTGATATTTACAACCAGAGTGATAAGCCACCGCCTCTGAACATCCTGACACCATACAGGTATGGCTTCATGCGCGCCAGAACCTTTCCTAGAGATGAGGGGAGAGCTGGGCAGAGCTGGGAGCAAGCTGATGCGTTGTGTGGGAATGTCCTTGATGGCTCATCTGGGTTAAAATTCAGAATTACTTCAAACTTTGAAAATAATAATTGCATTATATACAATGAAACTACTCATTGGTACATAATTATTAAAGTTACAGTATTTCAGCATAGTGATACTTTTAACAGTAGAAACGTGAGCTCTGATTTTAGCTTTTAGATGTAGCTGCCTTAAGTAGAAGTGAGTGCGTTGCCTGACAGTATTGTGTGTGGCTATGTTTTCAGATTCGATGTCAATATGAAAGGAACTACAGAATTCATTTATAATGCAGCAAAATACGGGTCTCAGCACTGCAGAGACATTTGCTGTTTAATTCAGAAAAACCATATTCTGTAGTGTTAGGGTTTTGAAGAGTGAAAATATAGTCAACAGATTAACCTTCTCTTACTGGAAAATGGTAGGACACGTTGTCAGGACCAGACTTCCAAGAAAAACAATGGAAAATAAATAGCGCAAAAAAATAATATGAAGAGACTAACTAAAAATGCTCTTTCTAAACACCCCTCCTGCCTTCTCCCAGCTCAACAGTTTCTTCCCATACCTGCTGTCGCCTCCTGTCCCATATCCCTCTTTCAAACACTGTCCCCCCGTCCCTTGTGGTATGCCCTGTCCTCTCCCCACCTCTGTGGCCTCCTGTGGAGCTCATCCTTCGGCCTCTGACAAGCACAGACTGTGGTGGCCAGTGATCCTCACAGCCCCAGGCCGACTCGCTGGTGATTCTCCTGTGAGGGCCTTCCAGGAGCCTGCGAGTTCTCCACTTCCATTTACTGCCCTCTCAGCAGTCCTGCCCTTAGGGGCCCTTTGGCCCATCTCAGGGAGTACATACAATTTTTCTTGGTCCGAATTCCTGTCCTTTCTCACTGTCCACAGGGAGATGTTTGGAGCCACCCTTGTTGCCTCTGCTAGGAAAGTGCAGTTCAAAGTACATCACTTTCTTTCTGCACAGACAAGGAGAGGCTCTCAGAAAAACAAGCCACATGGAAACTGGTGGCAGAGGAGAAAGATGCCCACGCCTTGTTATGGAAAAAGTAGACGTTTCTGGAGGTTTTAGCACGCTTATTTAAAAAGATTAAGGATATGTGTGAATATAACATTATAATCCTAACGTTTTAATTTATGGCTTTGCATTTATTCAGTAGGCATTTTCCTGGGGCAGTTTCATTTTTACTTAGCACTGAAGCCTCAAACACAATATAACATGTAGGGTTGCTCTTGAAAACTTTCTACCTGCTGTTACTAAGAAACCTCACTGGAAATTCTGTTCTAAAGGAAAAAAAATCAGATAACCCAATGAACCACTTACATAGATTAATCTAGATCATGATAAAATATTTGTAGTGATCTATAGTTTTTAATTGCATCAAAACTGATTTGACTTTCACGTGTGTGTGTGTGTGTGTGTGTGTATTCAGTCTTATGGAAAATAAAGCATATCTTTGACTTTTTTTTTATTTTTTGAGATGGGGTCTCGCTCTGTCACCTAGGTTGGAATGCAGTGTCGCGATCTCAGCTCACTGCAACCTCCACCTCCCAGCTTCAAGTGATTCTCCTGCCTCAGCCTCCCAAGTAGCTGGGATTACAGGCATGTGCCACCAAGCCCGGCTAATTTTTGTATTTTTAGTAGAAATGGGGTTTCACCATGTTGGTCAGGCTGGTCTCAAACTACTGACCTCAGGTGATCCACCCGCCTAGGCCTCCCAAAGTGCTGGGATCACAGGCATAAGCCACTGCGCCCAGCCTAAGTGACCGAAAAATTAAGTATTTAGAAGCTATAGGAAACAACAGATGCTGGAGAGGATGTGGAGAAATAGGAACGCTTTTACACTGTTGGCGGGAGTGTAAATTAGTTCAACCATTGTGGAAGACAGTGTGGTGATTCATTAGGGATCTAGAACTAGAAATACCATCTGACCCAGTGATCCCATTACTGAGTATATAACCAAAGTATTATAAAGTATTCTACTATAAAGACACATGCACACGTATGTTTATTGCAGCACTATTCACAATAGCAAAGACTTGGAACCAACCCAAATGCCCATCAGTGATAGACTGGATAAAGAAAATGTGGCACATATACACCATGGAATTCTATGCAGCCATAAAAGAGAATGAGGTCATGTCCTTTGCAGGGACATGGATGAAGCTGGAAACCATCATTCTCAGCAAACTAACACAGGAACAGAAAAACGCCACATGTTCTCACTTATAAGTGGGAGTTGAACAGTGAGAACATATGGGCACAGGGAGGGGAACATCACACACTGGACCTGTTGCGGGATGGGGGGCTAGGGGAGGGATAGCATTAGGAGAAATACCTAATGTAGATGATGGGTTGATGGGTGCAGCAAACCACCATGGCACATGTATACCTGTGTAACAAACCTCCATTTTCTACACATGTATCCCAGAACTTAAAGTATAATAATAAAAAAGAACATATCTGTTTATATTCTTGTCAAGGTTAACATTTGCTTACTTAAGTGAGTTCCTGCCTTCATTAAGGTACTGGCTCCATTTTTAGAAAAAGAAATGTACATCTTACACGTCTTAAATTTTGCAGCTTTTTCTAGACCTCTACCTATATTCAAGGCCTTGGTATCTTAGGGAAACAAATTATCTTTCTCACAATAATGTTATTAATGTAATATCTATCATGCAGGTTGCCTATCAATTAGGAAACTAGGAAAAGAAAGGAAGGACATCAGTAGTCAAAGGTTAAGGTGTAGTGTGAGTTGCACTGGCTCTTCAGTGATTTTCAGACATAGTGACTAGAATAGCCCCATAGGCACCCAGGCCTTGGTATTTGATGGTAAGACACTTAACAGGAGATGGCATAGTGGGGGCTTTAATGACAGACCTTTGCTTTCTTCTGAACAATTAGCCTTCTTTGACTGGGCATCAACTCTCCTATGCTCATTTAACTGATTTGCTTCCCCTGTGTTCCTGGATAACTCATTGAAATACTGATATGAAATAATATAAAATGTTCTGCCCCCCCATTTGAAGGTAGTCTTCAGAAGCATTACTAGAAGACAGTGTTTACTTTGTATCATGATGGTTTTGATCATGACTGTTGATTTACATGACAGCTTTGGACCTCTGCTAGCCGCATCATTGGTTTTATGATAAATGAACTACTTGTATGAAGACTTAAAATATTCTTCAGACCACAGTAATTGCCTGTGACAGTGCTTTAAAATGAAATGGCTACAGGTGAATAAAGTTTCTGTGTAGGTTACTTCCAGTTTGAAAATACATAGTTTGTCTCTGTTTTTCCTCACATTTATGCCCCATAAACATTTTGCTTCTTTCCTAATTGAACTTATAGATGTTGGGCAAACGTTATTGAGAAAAAGGGATAGAGTACTCACTAATTTTTAATCCTAATGATGTTGAAGCTCCAGTGTAGAGTGAACGTGTACTTTCTGAGAATCATCCATCTCTGTGTAAGTCCCGTGCTGGAACAAGCAAACAATTTCCTGAAGTAATTGAGGTATTATAAATTGCTGAGTATGAGCCATGTTGTGATTTTTTTTTTCTGAGCAATTTTCTATACTCAATTCTAAATTTGCAAGAGTACTTTTAACCTACAACAGGTTATTCTACAATAGGTTGCTGTTTTATGTTTTCACATTTTTTCAAATAAGGAAACTTAAAGACTTAATTTGTATAGGATAGTTTAAGTGCCCCATGTAGATGTTATAATCCCATGAGTTCAAATCAAGTTAACATTAACCTGCATATGAAAGTCTCTGACAGTATTTTCTTCCCTGACTTACAACCCATTGATTTGTAGAGATGACAAGAAGGATGGGCTGAAGTTCTATACTGATCCTTCCTATTTCTTTGACCTCTGGAAAGAAAAAATGCTACAGGACACAGAAGACAAAAGGAAAGAGAAAAGGCGTCAAAAGGTAAATAATTTCAGTATGGGAAATGTGCATATCCGTGTTTAAAAGGAGATTCTTGTTTAGAAATAGTAAATTATTTAAGCGGTTGAGATACTGGATATAGTGCTGAAGTTTTTTTAGAGGTTGCATTTCTCACGAAAGATCCTGACATTTCAGTCTAACGCAGTAATACTATTTTTCAGTAAATACTGATTTGTTCCCCAGCCCTTGCTTTGCTTTAACAAAAGTAGTTCCTGAACTTAGTTTTGCTACCATGTTTTAGTAACTTCTCTCCTGCTTTCTCAAATTTTTGTAAAGCAGTCAGTATTCCAAATCAGATACAATGATGTGCTTGTGTCTTTTTAACATTTTTAATTGTTGGGTTGCCTTCTAGCTGTAATTAAAATCTTGGTGAGATGTTCACATGGGATTGAGAGGCATACGTGATTTGCACATTCAGGGGATAGGATTTACTGAAAAGGAACTTCCCTTTAAGGGGTAGGGGTAGGAAGAGACTTGCAAGTCTGAAGATTGGGAAATATCTGCATTGCAAGCGGTCATCAAAGGAGAAGCCCACTCTACTAAGGTAAAGGGATTTGTGTTTTGAAAATTGTTCCTTTTGGACCCAGAAATTAGACTTAGGCCACTGAGAGGAATAATTCTCTAAGGACAAGTATTTTTTAAATATTTTTATACGTCAGCTATATTTAAAAATGACCATCCAGTTTGCTTGACAGATTAGAGCACTTTAGTTAGGAGAAATGCTTAGCATTTTGTGAGCTGATAGCCTTAGGGTTTTGAGGCATTGAGGGTGTTGGCCCAGTAGGAGTGACAGTTTGGCTTGGAGGAGAATCTGAAAATCAAAAACAGCATTTAACTGAGAACAGTTTGCAGACTGTGCTGTTGTAAGACACTATGACTGGTTCCGGGAAAGGGGGATGCAAAGGACTTGGTCACTCACACAGTCTTCTTGTGTTCATGGCTTTGGGAGATTTAACTGGGATATATCCTGGAAAAGTTGCTAGGTTTTACAGGGCATTCAAGTGAAGAAAAAAGAAAGATACCAATCTTTTGAGTGGAAAAGGAACAAATATTTAAAAAGCATATTTGTCTTAGTCCTCATGCTTTTTTATAGTTACAGGGAAAAATGCTGGGGCTTACCTGCCTTTAAAATGTGCCTGATTTTTTAAAAGGCCTTCTGGGTTTCCTTTCTCAATGATGCTTTTGGCAAAACTGTTTTAATTTTTTGTCACTCTTCTTGAAGGGGAAACAATTTTTATGTATGAATATTGTGTCTTTACAATCACTTGTTATTTCCTGGGCTGTTTTGTCTCATTCTACTTTCCTCAAACACATAAAATTCTGGTAAGAATTTCTTTCATTCACTTATATAATGACTTGATGTTGAATGCCTTCTAAATGCTGGATAAACAGTGGCAGAAAAAAAACAGGATTAGCACCCTCACGGAGAGGACAGTATAATGAGGGACACAGGCCTTAAATAATCAGGCAGCCCTCGGAAATGCGGCAAGAGGGAGAGAAGTTTCAAAATGTTCATATAGGTCCGCTTCATATGGAAATAGAGAAGGAGGCAAGATATTCTTTATTTTCCAGGATTTCAGAAACCCAAATCACGTTCAATTTGCAGTTGACAAATCTGAAGGAAAAATTAGTTTAGAAAATGTGAGGATTAAAAACCCCACATTTTTGAACTTTGTTTCCTTTAGTTTGATGCTTTAAGAACATTAAAAACCTAATTACACAAACATGAAGCTTCAAATATGTAATTACACTGTTGGTAAGTGTGGTGAAGGAAAAGTACAGAGCGCTCTGAGTGAGATGACCTGTGGCATGACTGTGTACACACAGTGAGAGGTCAAGGAAGACCTCTCAAGGAGGCGTCCTGCAGGCTGGGATCCACGGGAGGGGAGCAGAAGTTAGCTCAACAATGGGAGGGTGCTGCGGGGAGGCTGGAGAGGTGGGGAGCAGATGAGGTGGCGTGCTTCCGAATTGAGGAGGCTTCTAGGTAGCAGTGCCTAAGATCATCCTGGGGGAGGAACTGGTTTGGCAGCTTCTAAGGATTTTAACGTAGGCCAGTGTAGCTGGAGCCTGGATTCATCACTGTTCATATTCTTTCATGTTTGGTTCGCACGCGCTTGTGTGTCCTGTGTGCATATTGATAGGCAGATTTGGAGACTGAACCATGGTGAAGAAAGTTGCAGATATCATAACACTTCATGCCTGAATTTGTCAGCATACATCTTTTAAAAAGTAAGGGGAATAGTTATTCATTATTTTTAATACGATGGTTCTTAATCAGGATGCATATTGGAATCACATTGAAATCTCCCTCCCTCACTTTTTTCCTTTGGTTTTTCAAAGTACACACCCAATACATGCTGGTTGTAAAATGTTCAGATAGCACTCCCTTCCCTGAGAGTACCTAGCCACGGTTAACAGGTTGGTTTGCATCTTTTAAGACCTTTTAGCAGTCATAAATGTATGCATAAACATTTTACAAAGCATTTGTGTATACATAGTTATACTACGTATGACTTACACTGACATTATTTAAAATGTACTTCATCCTTTTTAATAGTTGTGTAGTATTCTGAAATATAAATGCTTCATAAATTACCCATTACTGTTGCTCTTACAATACTGAAGTGGTTATCCCTGTACTTAGGTGCAGATAATTTTTTAGGATAAATTTCTAGAAGTTGAATTACTCTTATTGAAGAGAATGTGAATTTTAAATTTTGAAAGATAGAATTATATTGCCCCTAATCTTTAAAAGACTGAAGAACTAGTTTATGTTCTTACCAGGTCTTCTCCAGTCCTAGATATTACTTTCTTTTTGACGGAAGATTGAATCTGTGTTACGTCTTCTCATATGCTTATTAACCATTTCTGTATCTTCTGTGAATTTCATGTTCACATCCTCTGTGGATCCATGACTAAAGCCTCCTGGATGCCTCTGAAAACGGTCCAGTTTTCTGTCTTCACCACACCCTTGGACCACCTGCCGTTCTTTTACCCTGTACCCACTTAGTAGCTTTCTCACTTGTGTCCCTATCTTCCCTCTTTTAATCTGTTTTCTGCAACACAGAAAGATCTTCTCCAATGCCTCCTCAGCATGCCAGCCTTCCCTTCTCGTTCTTTAATGGGTTCCCATTGCTGTTGGGATAAAGGCCTTCAAGGTTCTTCCTGCCTTTCAGATCTTGGGCCATTCACCCCAGTGTACCATTTGCCTTCTTTTATTTCTCTGAGTACAGTGCCATCCTCCTCCCCAGAGTCCTCGCACAGTCTGTCCTCTCCGCTTGGCATGTACCTGACCCATACTCCTCTGTAGAATTGATGCCACTTTAAATACACTTTCAATACCCTCAGTCATTCCAGGATGCCTCCCTGACTTCCAGACTAGACACACACACACACACACACACACACACACACACTTAAACATAAAAATATATTTGTAAAAATAAATACATTTACTTTTATAATACATTTATTCGTGTCCTGTTATGGACTGCAGGCTCCATAAGGGTAGATGCCGCCCGTGTGGTGTGTGTGTGTGTGTGTGTGTGTGTGTGTTTGCCATTTGTGTTGTCAGTGCCTGGTGATTTGTGTTGTCAGTGCCTGGTGCAGTACCTCGGGCATAGCACTAGAAGTTCATGCTTGCTGTCTGGCTGTGGATTTGATCATTTAGCCAGCATGCGTTGCGTGTGTATTCTGTATAAAAACTATGTTGAGATACCATAGGACAAGAGGGAAATGTGGGAAATAAAGACACATGATTCTCATCCTTAAAGATCATACAGTTTTATGAAGGAGGCAGGAAAAACTTACAGGCACACATAGAAATAACTTCTCACCTTTCAAGAGCACCTGTGTAAAAACTAAGTCTTTGTTGAATGAAACATTTTCTGGCCAAGTAGGGCTAGAGGAAGAATGACTCGTTTTATGGGCAGGTAAGTTTTTATCTTGCTTAGTTTTGTGTTAAACTATGTACAGGATTCACTTATTCTATAATATTTTAGAAATTGGGAACAGAATGTTTTGAATTATTTTCTTTGAAAGATAATTGTATGTTAAGAAGTCAGTCAAAATTGTGTGGTGGCGGGAAATAATTTCTCTGTGTGGTGTTTCCAGGTCGTTCACCTGTATAATATAGATCTGAAAGACCTTGTTTAGGTTTAAAACAAGTTACAAGCCTATTCAAGTGAAAGTTTTTTACTTTAATGAAAACAATGGTAAGCAACTCCTACAGTTGTAGCAGGGTAACTTTTTGTTGATTCTGTTTTGTCGGTTCTGTTGGGTAAGAGGAGTACGCTGCTTTAGAGTTTCTGTAACATTAGGGTAATCGAAATGCGAATGTGTCTTGTCTGTTCATCAGGCATGGGTCTTGTGCATTATAACTGCATTTAACCAGCTGTTTTCCTTTCCCTTCTGTCTTGGCATGCTCTCTTTCCTTTCCTGGACATCAGGAGCAAAAGCGTATAGATGGCACCACCCGTGAGGTGAAAAAGGTTAGAAAAGCCAGAAACAGGCGCCAAGAGTGGAATATGATGGCATATGACAAAGAGCTTAGACCCGACAACAGGTTGTCTCAGAGTGTGTACCACGGAGCGTCTTCCGAGGGATCCCTGTCCCCAGATACTAGGTGTGTGTGTGTCGCTGCTCCCTCAGCCCCCATGCTTGGGCCACTGGGTACTACCTGGTTTTATTTTCATTTGAAATGCACCAGTAGCTTCGGGGTTTATATGGCCCATGATGCCTTAAGATTTTCCTTAAAACTTAATTATCTGTATTTTGATTTCGAAATAATACTTGAAGACAGTGTTATTTTACATTGGGTTCTTTTGATTTTAGAAAACCTCTCTGACTTAAAATGTGTTGTTGAGTTCACCTAGGTGTAGTGTTTTAACACTGATTCTGAATTGGGGGTAACTGCTTATGACTTAAGTTTTTACTATAATAATCATTTAATCCTTTCTCTTAGCATGGAGTGTTGAATTTCCTTCGTCACTTCGTATCTAAAAATGAATGGTAGGTGGTAAAGTAACTAAGGAGTACCTTCATTGTTCCCTTTAGTAACCCTTAGAAAAAATGAACAAAAGAGAGATTTACTTCTTACTTGAGATAACTTATATATTCTAATTTCAGGAGAATAATTCTGTTGGCGTTTACTTTAAAATTTATTAGCAATTAAGTAAAAATATTTCTTGCAGGCGTGAATGATGTGGTCATTAAGTCACACTTGTCACCAAAGGCATTCATTGAACGACAGGAAATGACTAGTCAATTTTAACGTTTGATTCGATTTTCTATTTCTGCTTTTGTAAAGTTGTAGTCTTCCATTTGCATAAACCCTCATTGGCATTTAAAATTTTGAATAGAGAATTCTTACAATATGTGATCAAGAATGTTTCAAAACAGCAGCCACCTGGACTTTGGGTTATATCTGTGTCCTTTTTCTCTTTTTCTACCTTTGTAAAACTCAGTGTTTAGCACAAACTCTTAACATATTACGTGCCTTCAGTGTTCGCACCCCAGAAGGTCTGTAAGTCATTGGGAGGATGTGAGGCAAGTTCTGGGTAATTTTTCTGTGCAAACTGTTATTTGTTAGATATTAGAGAATTATTGGACCTTTAGCCGAGTTTTAGCCTTGTTTGAATTTTATGTGAGTTTATTTCTATAGAAAGTAAGAATTGCAACATAGTTCTGCTCATAGTTCTTTGGGTAGGGAGGAATGTATGAACTTAATAGCTCCCATGATATCAATCTGCTTTTTCGTTTTTTCTAAATAATTTAGCTATGATTGTTGACTCATGCAAAACATATACTTTGTTTTTATCCTATATAGACTTTTCAAAAACAGATGCAGATGGGAAAATGATGGATTTTTAAAAATCTGTCAGTTGAATGATATTCCTTCTAGCACCTAAGATTATTCCATGTTGGGTATAAAATGGATGGTTATTCAGATATAGTCTGCCTTTGTATTTATGTTGCTTATGTACATCTGCATTTCTCTTAATTTTCAAACAGTAAATCTGGTTGTCAGTTTTATTTCTTCAGAATTCCTTTTGTTGTCTCCTACTATTTCCCATGGCTTCTCACTATTTGCATACATTATTTACTATCAGAGGAATAGATTATAACTCATCATTGTATTTGGATTATAACCCTTAATTTAGAAATTTTTAATTTTTTTTACTACAGTCTCAGTTTTTTATTATAAAATAACACATGCTTATTATATCTGGAAGTTACAGGAAGAAATTAAAATGAAATATGATCTGTAGTCTCACCATCCGAAGAAACCGTTGTATGCATTTTAGTGTATTTCTCTTTAGTCTTTTTCTATATATGTGTTTCTTTTTTCTTTTATAAAATTGGAATCATGCCATATTTTCTTTCGACTTTTAAAAATCATATCCCATGTTTTAGGTGTTATTTAGAAGCGTGATTTTTAATGGTTGTATCTGCTCATCTGAGTGCATCCAAGATACTGAGGGAAATTTGAATACCAGGTTTCGTGGTGTGTGTACATGCCGTTATATAAGTAATATACTGTAACCCATCTTACATTTTTGCTCTCTCTCTAGATTGTTAGGAATGGCTTGTTCCTGAGCATGAATTTAAGATTAGCGCTGGGAAGTGCTTGCCTGCCGTATGACCAGCTCTCTGTCACTGCCACTCAGGGAGTCGCGCACCTCCATGCCCGATTGTCCTTATTTTTTCTCATCCAGTTTTGGGCCCTGGTGCAGATCTCTGACTCTGCCCGCCTGTCTACCCAAAAAACCCTGGGGATTTATTGGCCTCTTCACACTGAGTCTCTACTGCTGTGCCTGCTTCCTCCTGTGTGGTGTCGTCTCCGGCCTTCCCGGCCCTCCTCCTCCCATGTTGGTGTCATCTCCGGCCCTCCTGGCCCTCTTCCTCCTTCTCCCATGTTGGTGTTGTCTCCGGCCCTCCTGGCCATCCTCCCATCGTCTGCGGCCCTCCCAGTCCTCTTCCTCCCGTGTCAGTGTCGCCTCTGGCCCTCCCAGTCCTCTTTTCTGTAATAGGTGATCACTGACCATCATGCGGCCTTGGGATCTCCACTCCCTCCACCTTGGCCGTGTGTCTGCAGCTGGTTTCTGCCTCCCCACTGGGAGTGGGGCTTATCTCCAGCAGCTGCCTGCTCCTCCCTCCTCCTCCTGCCTGCTGGTGCATCCCTTTTCTATGGTCCTTCCCTCTTCAACTGACCAGTCCCCTCTTCCCCCAGCCCCCGTCTTCCTGATGGGCACCCTTCATCAGGGTTCTACCCTGTAGAAATCTCTGGTTTCTACTTCAGATATTTATTGTGTCTTCCTTCACTTCTGCCTCCATCTGCTTAGCCCCTTTTCCTTGCTGGCTTTCTACCCTGTGTTGCCAGGCTCCTTGACAGGGATAGCCCTCCCAGTTATGCCACAGTATTTATGGTTTCCTGCCCTCATCTCATCAGAAGCTGTCCAGATTTGGCTGGAGGACTGTTTCCTTTAAAAGGTTGCACTGTAGGCCAGTGACTCGTAGTCAGGTGCAGAGTCAAGCACACATCATCAGTGTCTCCAAGGGATATAGGTATTTACATTTTTAAAATGTGCTAAATCTAAATACAGGTCAGGTCCTTCCCCCATTAAATATATTTTTAAGTCATTTACTAGCAGCTCACCTAGTTCAAAAGACATAATCAGAAGTGAACCATAATCCAGAATTCATACTGCAGTTAGGGAAGAAAATAATGAGTAGTTAGTAGTTACACTTCACTTAAGGAAGGGAAAGGGAAGAGCAGCTGTCTCTTCTCATTTAGAAGGTTTTTCTCTGCTACACTGTGCCCCAGTTAAGAAACGCCACCGACTGGAATCCGAAGGTGGAAATGCAGCGTGCATCTTCCCTGCTCCCTCAGCACCCCCGATGTGTGTTTGCTGTTTCCTTCAGAGAGAGAAACACAAGCTGAATCCTAACAGAAACCAGCAAGTGAATGTGAGAAAAGTCAGAACAAGAAAAGAAGAGTGGGAGAGAAGGAAAATGGGCATTGAGTTTATGAGTGACGCAAGGAAACTGGAGCAGGCAGGGAGCACCACAGAGGACAGAGTGCCCAGCGGGTTTGTTGTTTTGCTTTCTTTGGGTTCCCAGACCCAGGCTGCCCCTGCTTCCGCCGCCATGAGAGGATGTGCAGCCCCTCCCGGCCACATGTCCCATAACCTGAGCCAGGCGCGTGTGACTGTCTTACTAACGCCCGCGGCGCTGCCAGGCTGCCACACTGCCACACTTGGGTCCTTCCTCTCCTCCTGAGGGCTTAGCCGGAGTCCCATCGCTGCACCCCATGCCTCGCTCAGCTCTGCTCCACTAATCCAAGATTCCATTCCTTTCGGAGTTTCACACCCAGCGTATGTGCAAAGAAGGCCTTTCCATAGTGCACCACATTGCTTTCTTCCCTTTTCGTTACATACATTTCTTCCGTGTAAGAAAAATATGATTCACTATACTGTATTCTCGATTTCTTTTCCTGTTCTTACTGTTAATATTTATCCAGTTCACCTGCCATTTTATATTTTCTAATTATATGCTGTCAGTTTCATTGCCACCAAAATCTTCTGTCTTATATCCTGTTTCTAAATGCAATGGTTTCTCTCGTAGCCTTCTTTCTTAGAGAAAATGTATGCTGAAATACTGTGAAAAGGAGGCTCTGCTGTTTCCTGCTTGCCGGTCTGTGTGACTTATTCACTTCAAAGCTGTGAATCTGAATCCATGTAACACTGGGGCTTGCTGCTGACTTATAATCATTATGTTGTTGCTTGGAATCTCTCACGGGGCTAGACCTAGTTGATAGTAAAGCAAATTTATGTCTGATTTTTGTGTATGAGCAATGTTATTATTCAAATACATCCATATGCCTGTTAGCCGACAATTTTTAACTTAATTTAAATTTCCCCCACCTCTTGTTTTCATGCCAGGTCACATGCGTCGGACGTTACGGATTACTCTTACCCGGCTACTCCCAACCATTCTCTGCACCCCCAGCCGGTGACCCCTTCCTACGCAGCTGGTGACGTGCCACCACATGGGCCTGCAAGCCAGGCTGCGGAGCATGAATACCGGCCCCCGTCTGCCTCGGCGAGGCACATGGCCCTCAACAGACCTCAGCAGCCGCCGCCCCCGCCTCCGCCTCAGGCGCCAGAGGGGTCCCAGGCCTCTGCACCGATGGCTCCAGCAGACTACGGGTAACTCAGTGTGCCTTGTACCCTAATCCCTACTGGCCTTACATTTGAATCTTGCTGTATGTGGTAGGAGAATTTTAACTCTGTTATTTTAGAGGCCAGGATAGAGTCAAGGATGACTGGATGTAGATACTAGCAGCTCTAACATTCTGTGTGAAATAAAGCAGGTGCAGTGTAAGCTCAGACTTACAGCTGAGTCTCAAGCCACACTGTGCACGCATGCGTGTTCCCTCACACACACTCTGGGTGTTTGAATGACTCTCTAAGCCAAGGCGTTGATAAAGGGTATTAAGTGCTGATTTTGTGAACCTGTCCCAAACCCTCAAGTTTCTGGACACATCCTGGGTGGACCGCAGAGAACTGTTATCACAGATGAGACGACCACACCATGCAGCTCCTGTGCCTCACATCTCAGGCTTGACCAAAATCTCCTGTCATGACCTCTGACCACCCAGACATCATTCTGCCCCACGCCCTCCTGTTTCCTGACAAGTAGCATTCAGAGACCTTCATGTTCAGGCCTTTATCAATTTAGGCACCCACCTCTCTTTTTTTGGCTTTACCCTAGTCTTTAAAGACTTCATTCCTCAGAGTTGGTGCCCAGGAAAGTTACTGTGTGTTGGTGTCCACTGCTAACACGTGTCTGCGCACCCCTGTCCGAATGAAAGTCCTTCTGCTGGCAGAAGTGCCCTCCCTGGCCATGCATGCCAAGTCAGGTCCCCAGAGTGGCTTGGGGCTGTGTCAGGCCAAGGGAGGACCCATGGTCCAGTTAGTTTGGAAGACTCTTGGCTGACTAGAATTCAGCAGATTTCTTGGCTGTGTGACTTTTCGAAGCTTTTGATACATACCTGGGCACTGCAGGCATGGCGCATTTCCATGGGGGTGGGCTAGAGAATGTAGAAAGCTCCCAGTCTGGTTGACCTTAGGACCCTTCAAAGCCAAGTTTGTGAGCTACGGCCTTGAGATCCCAGTGCGAAGGCTTCACCGCGCTGCCGCCCTGGCCTCTGCCGTCAGCTGCTTGATTCTGCCTTTCTTCGGGGAGTGCCGCGCTTTTTGAGTGGTCCTCCTTTTGGTACATTTCAGTAGCAGGTCTTGACTTCTGTCATAATGAATAATGTCAGACTGTGACAATAACTGACCCAAGGTGTGCATGTTCGCATCCTGCCATGATTGAAGTTCAGGTGACAATACGTGTTGTGTCTGGGGATGGCTCTGTTAGGCGTCTAAGAGCTCACAGGACGTGACCCTCTCTTATTCCCTTGGTGATTGTGTGCCTCGTATCTCTCTCAGGATGCTCCCAGCGCAGATAATTGAGTATTACAACCCATCAGGACCACCTCCTCCGCCACCTCCTCCTGTGATTCCCTCGGCACAAACTGCCTTCGTCAGCCCTCTCCAGATGCCCATGCAGCCCCCGTTCCCCGCATCAGCCGGCTCCACGCACGCGACTCCTCCTCACCCACCCTCCACTGGGCTCCTGGTCACAGCCCCGCCACCCCCGGGCCCGCCACCTCCCCCGCCAGGCCCTCCTGGCCCTGGGTCTTCTCTTTCGTCCTCCCCAATGCATGGCCCCCCAGTCGCTGAGGCAAAGCGGCAAGAGCCAGCACAGCCACCCATCAGTGATGCTCGAAGCGACCTGCTCGCTGCTATTCGAATGGGTAAGTGGAGCCCCCAGACACACAGCCTGCCTTCCAGCGAGAAGTTTCCTCGTGTCTCCAGCCAGCTGCAGCCTCCTTGTCTTCAAATGACTCCTCACTGTGTTTGTAAAAATAGAGTTAAAGGGGTCTTACTTGATTGTTTTGTTTTGTGTTTTTGAATAGTAGGTGTGTTTTTGTCCACTGTAAGGTAAACATTGTGATAAAGAATTGAGAAATGGCCGGGTGTGGTGGGCTCATGCCTGTAATCCCAGCACTTTGGGAGGCCAAGGCAGGAGGATTGGTTGAGCTCAGGAGTTTGAGAGCAGCCTGGACAATATGGCAAAAACCTGTGCCTACCAAAAATTCAAAAAAAATTAGCTGGGCATGTTGGCCTGCACCTGTAGTCCCAGCTACTCAAGAGGCTGAGGTGGAGGGTTGCTTGAGTGTGGGAGGTCAAGGCTTCAGTGAGCCGTGGTCATGCCCCTGCACCCCAGCCTGGGCGACAGAACGAGACCCGTCTCAAAAAAAAAAAAAAAAAAAAAAAAAAAAAAAAAAAAAAGATGAAATTAGGAAGTCTTTACTTACCTAGAAACCAGAAACCCAATAACTGAAGTGATCAATTAATTAATTGGATCTCTGCATTCTACTCTAAGGGGAAAAGTATAAATGAAAGAAAGTAAGCTCATATTAACGATACCTTTAAAAAGAAGACTTTGTCCTGGACTTGTCATATTTGCCTGATGTCCTAAGCCAGTGGTTTTTCAGCATCTATAATATTGAACAGTATAACCCTTTTGTCAGATGAAAGTCCTGCACTGACCCCTGACCACGAAACACATGGAAACAGAGCATCTCGGGTGGACTGGGGTGGAGAGTCTGCCTTCGCCTGTCTTGGGCTGCCCAGAGAGCCCCTGGCCACCTCTAGTCCACACCATGGATTCTGAGGCAGGTCCCAACCCAGGTTGGTCGAGGGTCACTGACATGTTATGGGAATATCTAAGAGCTTCTCGCCTGTGGGGAGCCTCACAGACGTGGTCACAGTTTAGTCATCTCATCTGGAAGTGACCGAGCAAGGAGCCTGGCTGCAGCCCGCCAGCTCAGCGTCAGGGATGTCCTTCAGAGGAGCTGTGATGCTGCGGCCTCTGCGTTTTTCTTGTGTGCCCAGGAACCAGGCCCGCAGTGGGGCCCACGCACCCCTCTAAAGACACCAGGGTCCTCTGTATACCTGGACATCATTGACACACTTTTATTTTGTCAAGATAAAAAAATTCCTAGAGGTATATTAGCTCATGAATAGCAAATTTGGGGTCATTGTAGGACAGTGTTGGATTTGCCTTGTTTTGTTTTGTTTTTTAACACCTTATAAGCCCTGTTTACCAAGAGTGGATACATAACCTGTATCTAATCTTGAGGAAACATCTGATACACCCAAATGGAGAGACATTCTGCAGACTAGCTGCCTGTATTCTTCAGAAATGAGAAGGCTGTAAAACACAAAGACTGTGAAGAACTGTGCAGATTAAAGGCCATTAACAAAACTTGACACCACTGTCACAGATAATTTCCACTGGATTCTGAACCAGGGGATAATCTTTTCCATTTGCAATTAGATTGGGTCTTTTTGCAAAATTTGAATAATATTTGTAGGATAGATAGTAGTATTGTATCCAAACTAGTTTTGTGATTTTGATTTTTTGGGCGGGTGAGGGTTGGTAACACATGAACATTTTAGGGGTAAAGGGACATTATATGCTGTTCACTCTCAAATGGTCCAGAGAAAAGTGTCTGTGTCTTTCTGTGTAAAGATGATAGGGGAAGATTGGGAAATAAATGTGGTCAGATGTTTGCATTTGGGGAATCCAAGTATATGGGAATGTTTTTCTGCTGGTCTCATAGCTGTTCTGTAAATCTGAAATTATTTCAAAACAGTTAAAAAATGAATGGATACCAGCTTGGGCAGCATTGCAAGACTCTATCTCTACAAAAAAGAAAATACAAAATTTAGCTGTGCATGGTGGCGTGCGCCTGTGGTTCCAGCTACTCAGGAGGCTGAGGTGGGAGGATTGCTTGAGCCCAGGAGGTCGAGGCTGCAGTGAGCCGTGATCGTAACACTGCACTCCAGCCTGGGTCACCGAGTGAGACCCTGTCTCAAAAAAAAAAAAAAAAAAAAAGGGTAAACGTTAACATCATCAAATATCTTACTTCGTTACTAAGCTAGAAAGTAGATGATGGTATTTTATGTTCATTTCCACAGTAGTTGTTGAAATAAAGGTTTCTCAGTTACTTCTCGGGTTAGCTGAGAGTGAGTAGCGTAGAACACTGTTTCTAAGGCTCCGGATGCCGTGCTGCCTGGTAGATGTCCTGGGATGATAGAAATGTTCCAGCCTGCAGCGTCCCAGAGCAGCCACTAGCCACATGGCAGTTCATGCTTAGAAGGCTGTATGTGGCTAGTGGCTGCTGACTGGGATGGTGCAGCTCCAGAATTTTCTCTAATGGTGTTCATGTATACTGAAATTATGAATTTTTAATATTTTAGCACATTTCTTTGTTACAAAAAATCTTCCCACTTTGAATGTGTATGTTTTTGCTTTTCTCCCCTCAAATTTCCAAAACTTTCTATCCTTAGTGTCAGTAGGAAAAAAAAAGTCCGATAGACGTATTTGTTTGTTTACCTTTAATTTGGAGCCAGCAAAAGGATGTGATTCTGAACCACGGGTTGTGTCTGCAGGAATTCAGCTGAAAAAGGTGCAGGAGCAGCGGGAGCAGGAGGCCAAGCGGGAGCCTGTGGGGAACGACGTGGCCACCATCCTGTCCCGGCGCATTGCCGTGGAGTACAGCGACTCTGACGACGACTCAGAGTTCGACGAGAACGACTGGTCCGACTGAGCGGAGGCCGGCGCCGAGGCCACGTGTGGGAGCGTGTTGAAGAGTTCAAGTGGTCTCTACACCCAAATAGTGGTATTCTAATCCCGTAGCATAGCACCTTTTGTATAAATAATGTGATATTGCTTCTGCACATCCAAAAATTCTGGGTCTTTTCAGTATTTACTGTGTAATACTTAAGTGCCACTGAACATAGCAAATTGTGCTACACATGGGGAAATAGGCTGTCACTATCGCATTGTCCTGAAAACAGCATCTGCTTTCCTCTTGACCATGAGAGTATTTCGTGCAGTTTGGGTTTACTCTTACTGATCAGTATAACTCTGCAGACTTGCTGTGTGTTTGTGAAGCTGCCTGGTGTTAGGTCTCTGCAAGACTAATGACTATGTCAGAGTGATGTCTTCCAACCAGTAAGTGATATTGTTTCACCGCTTTGGGTTTTCCTTTTCTTTTTTTAAAGGATGTGTTTCTGAAGAAGTTGGTTTTAGAGGGAAAGGTTCAACAAATAGGGAGAATCCAAGGTTTCTGCTTTCAGTTTCTTGGCTTGGTAGCCTCTAAGTGAATCTGAATGCTCTGCTGAATAATTTCATTGCCTCTGCTCACGCCTGTCGAATATGAAATTGGAAGGGCCCTTTTCAGGCTGGGTTCCCTGTGGGCCTTTGCTTAGTAAATGCCTGTTGATGGTTTTGCAAGAGAGTTCAGCAGCTCAACAGTAATGAAAGTGAAGAACAGAGTCCTTTTTCCTTCCTGGGGCCATTGGGGATGACATTCAAGATACTTGCCAGCCTCTCCAGTGTGGGCACCAGCTGGCCAGAACAGATGCGAGCAGTCCATGACTCTGGGAGCTACACTGCTGAGCTGGGCAGAGCTGTGGCACAGGGTCTGGGCTGCAAAGGAGCCCTGCTCCTTTAATTTCCTGACAGCTGTGTCCTGAGTGAGCCGCAGGAGTTCTGAGCTCCTCAGCGAGCAACAGACAGCGCTTTGGATGGCACCTTTCGCCACTTGGTCGGAATTTTAAAAGCTTAGGTTTAGGTGAAAGTAGATGTTGACAGCTATTCACCTTTCACGGTGCTGGAGCCAGATTAGGGATCACTCCCGTGAGGAGGGCCTTCTCCCTGTCCTAGAAGCACACGGTTCTCCTCTCTCCTGTTGTTGGCACATTACATGATAAAAAGCACCTCCTGAGATTCCCTTGATCAGCCCTGCTGCTGTAGCACAGCGCCGCGCCCTCGCCTCCGCCCTTCCTGCTGTTCCCACGTGGCAATACCAGGGACCCACGGGGAAACTCAAGAATGAGAGCTTCTGTATTTTGTAATTCTGGATGAAAGATAACTGTGTTGAATAAACAGGTGCTCCAGGCTTTGATTATAGATGTGACTTCAAAAATATGCTAAGACCCTTGACTTACTAAGGACTTTAACCTACTTAACAGTATTTCATATGCATTGTGGTTAGTTACTTGGTTATGATGGGAAGGGAAGAATCTGGAGCTAAAAGCAGAGCTGTTTGAGGTGACGGTAGGAATGTCAGCAGGATGGTGACGGGGGTTTTAGTTAATGCATCTGAGCAAGTCAGCCAGCCCCGAAATCCCCTCGGTGTGTGTGTCTCGAGTGGACACCTGTTGAGCTTGCGGGCAGTGACTGCACAGAGCCTGTCCGTTGGGTTCAGTCATGTAGATCTGAAGCCCTGAAAAGCCTCATGTCTGCATCCCCTTTCCAAGGCTGCTTCCCTGGCGTGTCTGTTCTCTCCTCTGTCCCAGGCGCTGGGAGCGGCCTCTTCAGCGTCTTTTCCTAGAGCTGGTCACCACTAGGCTGTCACTATAAATTCCTTGAGTATAAGTAACAGTTATTAATGAACTTCTAAATTTCTAAGTTCTCTCTCTCTCTCTTTTTTTTTTTTTTTTTTTTTTTTTTGTTGTTGTTGTTAAAAAGGGCCTACTACACTGGCATTATTCTTAGGACTTCTGTGGCTTTCAAAGTCTGACTTACTCGGCTTTCTTGTTCCTTTTGTATTAGGAGTTCCTCGTGTGGGTCTGGAACTCCCATTTGGTAAATGCTTCTTTGTTTTTAATGGCCCTTCTGTTCTCAGGATGGAGAGAACACAGAAGCTACTATCCATGTCAGGATTTATTCTATTTATATCTTATTACAATGAAATTAGTGGCACTTTATTCATAAATATTCTTGAGCCTGTTAATTATTAGTTGTCTTCCTGTAGTTGAATCAACAAGTTATTTTCAACTCAGTTTTATGACTTGTGAAAAAGCTTTTGCCCTGTTGTGTACCATAACCTTTAAAAGAATGGAAAATGACTGAAATCCAATTTAGATTATTTTTAGAGTATTTTTCCAGCAAATTCAACTTATTGTGAAATTTAAATCCAGATCTTTTCTAATATGGTATTACATGAAAAGAATAAAGAGAAGATTTGAATTTTCAGTTTCATTTTCAAAAACTATTTACCAAAACAAATGGAGAAGAAACATTCAAAAGCACATTTCATTTCTACGAACTTTATGTTATAAATGACAGTTATAAATTGTAAGGTAATTTTAAATTGTCCCTTGTATTATTTCTCCATGTCTGTTTTAGTTTAATGTCTCCTAAGCATTTTTCTCATAGCGTAGCCCTAGGGAAGGGATGGGAAGGTTGCCCAGTCCCTGATGGCTGTGCACACAGGAGACGGTGGAGCACAAGGCGAGTTTGCACTGTCAACCCCAGACCGTAAGCTTGGCTACACTGACGTTTTTCTTTACTAAGGATACTACTCAAAAGTTAACATTTTCACCTCAGTAAATTTTTAGAACATCAAAATGTTTTCTGAGCACCAGTGGCTAGGTTGTAAAAGTTTTGTAATAATTTGCAATTAAAATACATGATACATTTTAATCCATTAAAGACTAGTGGGAATGTATCAGCCAGAGTAGCAAGTAATTTTTGTTTTATAAATCATAGTATCTGTCATCTTGCAGTATTACCAATGCTGTTGTAAATTGAATTTAAAGTGGTATTAAAAAAAACTGTTAAACAATTTTTATCTGTTTGTATATCTTACTATAGATTATGTACAAGTAACATCTAAATAAAATTACACTTTTAACCCTAAGAGGTTTTGCTTATTAATAACAGTGTTGTACGTTTGGCTTTTTTGGAAGAGAACTCGGTGTTAAATGGTTGGTTGTTTTTGCTTTTGTTTAGCATTTTCCTTGTTAGACAACAGAAGACACTGCTTTGGTTTCCATTTCTGCATAATTTTTGTTGTCACCAGGAGTTCAGATTGAATTCCTGAAGGACTCGGGGCAGCGTTAGTCTGGTTAGAAAGAAAGCCACGCTAGGAGTAGGGAGCCACCTGTTGAGAGGATAGAGCCTGGGGCGGGCAGGAGGGTCTTAACCACATTTACTCTCAACGGTAAAAGTGAATAGCACGCTGTGGTATGTATTGCTTATGGGATGTTTTCATTGAATCCTTACAATAATCCTTAACATTCTGTTTCATGTGTGGGAAACTAGAGTGAAGCTAGGTTACCCTGTCAGGGACCTTAGTCAATAGAAAACTCAGTTCTGGGGCAGAATCACACGTGGGGGTAATGGGAGTCGAGATTGGGTGGACTAGTGTGGCCACATACATCAGAGACAGCCAGACTGGAGGTCAGGCTTCCTGTAGTAGCTGCTTTCAAGTTCCTGATGCACACAGTGTGTACCTCTACCATGGCACACATCATGCTGGTTCTGTGTGTAGCTTTTCACTAGACTGGGTGTTCCTTGTAGGCCTAAGTCATCTTTGCATCCTGAGAGCCTTGGCACAGCGCCCAGTCTCCTAGGCAATGAATGAGCAGCTGCTTTTTGCATGATTAGATGAGTGGATGGATATCTGAGTGGTTTTCTTTAGCAAAAAGTAAAATGTGAGCAACTTTTTAAAACATGGCAAATTCTACCAAATACCTTGCATTTCCTCCTTAGTACTTGTCATCTGATGTGCGGCTCCCTCTTTGTGGTGTGTATTCCCCACTAGACTGAGCTCTGGGAGGCAGGCAGGGGCCTGTTCTGCTGCTGTATCCTGTGTCTTGAGCACAGCGCCTGGCACTTTCTAGGTGTCACGTAGTTATTCAGGGATCGTGGTTCAGAGGGAGAAAGGGGAGGCTTCTTCAACAACTATTTGTGAGCCTAATAAGATTTTAAATACATGGATATGCATAAAACACTTGGAAGAGTGCCTGGTGTTAAGCAGACACCCAGTGGATGTGACCGCCCTTTTCGTCTACAAGCCACTGGCTGGAAAAGAGTGGCAGGCCGGGCTCCGCCCTCATGGGGACTGCTCATCTAATGAGAAAAAAGGACATTAAATATTGTCAATTAAGTAATTTAGAGCATTTGACATGTGCTTAGTTTGGGGCGGAATGAGAAGTGCCCAATCTCAGTGGGCCAAGGGAAGCTGAGATTTGAGAATGCACAGAAGTTAGCACAGGGAGGGAAAGGAGTTTTTCAGTAGAGGGAACAGCATATGCTTTCCCTAAGGTGGGAAAGACAGTATGGGGTGAGAATGGAACTAAAGTGTCAGTGGGATAGAAGCACTTAGAGGAGGAAGTGTCATGAGATGGGATACAAAGACGCTGGAAACCTCCCATGCCCAGCATTTGGGATTTAGGGAGCTTTCTGAGCCAACAAACCCCACCATGATAACATATCTGCCATAGCTGCACACCTATCAAAATCTTCGTATTTACAGCCTATTGGTTTTTTTATTGATCTTGATAGCCTCATGCCTTAGATGGCATTAATATTAGAAAGGATCTTAGGTCCGTTTTACTTATATGTATTTAGAAGGCATCTTAGTGCTCTGCTAGTCTAGCTCCTAGCTTTAAAGATGGGGAAAAGGCCATTGCTTCCATTGATGGGGGCTCAAAGCTTGGTCTTTTTTTTTTTTTTTAAATTATACTTTAAGTTCTAGGGTACATGTGCATAACGTGCAGGTTTGTTACATATGTATACTTGTGCCATGTTGGTGTGCTGCACCCATCAACTCGTCAGCACCCATCAACTTGTCATTTACATCAGGTATAACTCCTAGTGCAATCCCTCCTCCTTCCCCCCTCCCCATGATAGGCCTCGGTGTGTGATGTTCCCCTTCCTTAACTCTTGAATTGAAAATTCAGGAGTTCAAGAGTTCCATAAAGTTGTTCAGTAAACACTCATAGACCCCTCTCCATCTATTCATCAGTTATTTTTTATGCATTTCAAAGTAATGTGTATACTTCACCCCTGAATTCTTCAGCATACATATCATTAGAGTTTAATATTTATAACGTAAAATATACTTAGAGTAGGTTCAATGACTCTATTCAGTCATCCGTGACATAATTTGCTCTTAAGCCCATCTAGTAAATTTTTTATTTCAGACATTGGATTTTTTCACTCTAGAATGTCCTGATGGTTCTTTTTTGTTGTTCATTCATTACAAGCTTATTTTCCATCTTTGAGCATAGTTATACTGGCTTTTTAAAAATCTGTGCTAATTCCAACATCTGGATTTTTTTTTTCAGGATCAGTTCCTATTGCTTGTTTTCACCCTTGAGTGCATGCCTAATAGTTTTGGATTGTATTGTAAACTTGGTGGATGATATATTTTAGAGACTCTGGATTCTGTTATGTTCCTCCAAAAACTACTGATTTTTTTTTTAAGGAAGGAAGGCAGTTAACATGGCTAGATTTAAGCTCTCAACTCCCCGCTGCCCCCATCACCCAGCACACACACAAGGGATAATAACGGAAGTTTCTTAAGTTCTTTTAACCTTAGCCAGGCTGCTTGGAGTTTCTTTGGCTCACGCTTGGTTACAGGATCAAACAGAGACTCAGGCAGTTTTACACAGAATTTTTGGATCCCCCTCTGGCTCTTGTTTGTAGGAACACTTCACTTTCAATCTTCTTTGATCTCTCTGAACTCAGCCCTCTCATTTTTTTAAGCCAGTAAGATTGTGGGTTAAGTCAGCCAGCCAAGACTGCAGATTCTCTATTCAGGCTTAGCTGCCTGCTTGGCAGAACAGGGCCTGCCCTCACCAAAACGCCTTTAATAATCAGAAACGCAAAGCCTTTTTCTTCTGCCAAGCATCAGCTACCCCCTCGGGTGTTTCTGGTTTTGATTTCTGTGCAGTGCCTTCGGTGGCTGTGAGGTGTATTTTGTCCAGTTCATAACTGTTGTCATAGTAATTTGGTCTGAAATGAGCTAGTTCTCCAGTCCCAGAAGCCTCATTCTATAAATATTTGATGCAACATTTATTTTTAAAAATGTTAATGTAAATTTAAAAATGTGGACCGATATTTAATACCTAATTACAACAAATGATCAGCGTCTCCATTTTTCTGCCAGGCAAACTTGTGTTTGCAAGGACCCCACAATAAAACTGGTGACATAGTTCTTTAACAAAGTGGTATCCAAGTATTGCATGATGTGATAGGAAACACGTGTCTGCATCTTCTTATCTGTGAATCAATGTTCTTTAAGGCCGGGTGCTGTGGCTCACGCCTGTAATCCCAGCACTTTGGAAGGCTGAGGTGGGCGGGTCATTTGAGGTTAGGAGTTCGAAACCAGCCTGGCCAACATGGCGAAACCCTGTCTCTACTAAAAATACAGAAATTAGCCGTGCATGGTGGTGTGTACCTGTAATCCCAGCTACTCGGGGAGCTGAGGCAGGAGAATTGCTTGAACCCGGGAGGCGGAGATTGCAGTGAGCTGGGATTGCGCCACTGCACTCCAGCTTGAGAGACAGAGCGAGCCTATGTCTCAAAAATAAAATAAAACAACCAAACCCAGAATGT